TGAATTTCTGAATTTCTGAATTTCTGAATTTCTGAATTTCTGAATTTCTCAATTTCTGAATTTCTGTATTTCTGAATTTCTGAATTTCTGAATTTCTGAGTTTCTGAATTTCTGAGTTTCTGAATTTCTGAGTTTCTGAATTTGAGATTTTCTGAATTTCTGAATTTCTGAATTTCCGAATTTCTGAATTTCCGAATTTCTGGATTTCTGATTTTCTGAATTTCTGAATTTCTGAATTTCTGAATTTCTGAATTTCTGAATTCCTGAATTTCTGAATTTCTGAATTTCTGAATTCCTGAATTCCTGAATTTCTGAATTTCTTAATTTCTGAATTCCTGAATTCCTGAATTTCTGAATTTCTGAATTTCTGAATTTCTGAATTTCTGAATCTCTGAATTTCTGAATTTCTGAATTCCTGAATTTCTGAATTTCTGAGTTTCTGAATTTCTGAGTTTCTGAATTTCTGAGTTTCTGAATTTGAGATTTTCTGAATTTCTGAATTTCTGAATTTCCGAATTTCTGAATTTCTGATTTTCTGAGTTTAGAATTTACGAATTTCTGAATTTCTGAATTTCTGAATTTCTGAATTTCTGAATTTCTGAATTTCTGAGTTTCTGAATTTCTGAATTTCTGAATTTCTGAATTTCTGAATTTCTGAATTTCTGAATTTCTGAATTTCTGAATTTCTGAATTTCTGAATTTCTGAATTTCTGAGTTTCTGAATTTCTGAATTTCTGAATTTCCGAGTTTCTGAATTTCCGAATTTCTGAATTTCTGATTTTCTGAGTTTAGAATTTACGAATTTCTGAATTTCTGAATTTCTGAATTTCTGAATTTCTGAATTTCTGAATTTCTGAGTTTCTGAATTTCTGAATTTCTGAATTTCTGAATTTCTGAATTTCTGAATTTCTGAATTTCTGAATTTCTGTATTTCTGAATTTCTGAATTTCTGAATTTCTGAGTTTCTGAATTTCTGAGTTTCTGAATTTCTGAGTTTCTGAATTTGAGATTTTCTGAATTTCTGAATTTCTGAATTTCCGAATTTCTGAGTTTCTGAATTTCTGAATTTCTGAATTTCTGAATTTCTGAATTTCTGAATTTCTGAATTTCTGAATTTCTGTATTTCTGAATTTCTGAATTTCTGAATTTCTGAGTTTCTGAATTTCTGAGTTTCTGAATTTCTGAGTTTCTGAATTTGAGATTTTCTGAATTTCTGAATTTCTGAATTTCCGAATTTCTGAATTTCTGATTTTCTGAGTTTAGAATTTACGAATTTCTGAATTTCTGAATTTCTGAATTTCTGAATTTCTGAATTTCTGAATTTCTGAGTTTCTGAATTTCTGAGTTTCTGAATTTCTGAGTTTCTGAATTTGAGATTTTCTGAATTTCTGAATTTCTGAATTTCCGAATTTCTGAATTTCTGATTTTCTGAGTTTAGAATTTACGAATTTCTGAATTTCTGAATTTCTGAATTTCTGAATTTCTGAATTTCTGAATTTCTGTATTTCTGAATTTCTGAATTTCTGAATTTCTGAATTTCTGTATTTCTGAATTTCTGAATTTCTGAATTTCTGAGTTTCTGAATTTCTGAGTTTCTGAATTTGAGATTTTCTGAATTTCTGAATTTCTGAATTTCCAAATTTCTGAATTTCCGAGTTTCTGAATTTCTGATTTTCTGAGTTTAGAATTTACGAATCTAAGAATTCCAGGGATCCAAGATTTCTGAATTTCTGAATTTCTGAATTTCTGAAATTCAGATTTTCAGAATTTTTTCCAGTAGCTACAAATTACGCTAATCAGCGTATTTTGTACCTTATCATTGAAAAAATAACAATTCAACTGATAAGAAAAGTTTGTAATAATTTCTTTTGGAATTTTGAGTATTTTGGAGAAAAAAGTCCAAAATGTTCAAATTTTGGTGTTTTGCTACATTGTGCATTTTCGGAAAGAACAGTTCTTTTTTTTGAATAGCTACAGTATACCCGATTTGTAATTTTTTTTCTTTTTGGAAATAATTTTTTGTGACCAAAAAGTTTTTTGAATGACAAAACATTTTTCTGTTTTCTCATTTTTGGACATAATCTTTGAGTCATTATTTGTAGTCTCCGAATGGGCGGAGCCAAGAAAATGATGACTATATTTTCGTTTTTTGAGACGATTTTCTCTTCTTAAAAGCGGAAAAATTGCCTCAGGCTTATTTACTTTTTTCTCTCTCTTTTTTTCAAAATTTGTTTTCCAACTTTATTTTGCTGTGCCTTGAAATTCTAATAAGGAACTTTGCAGTTAAAGGTTTTTTGAATACCGTAAGCACTCTAATAGAACGCCACCCGAATCATCAAATTTTGAGCCTATTTATCTCATTTTCTGTAAGAGATATCAAAAAGTGGTCAACTAATAAAATATTACTGATATCATGATAAACAGTTTATCAGTTGACAATGTTTTGATATCTTTCAAAAGAAGTGAGGTATATAGGCCAGGTGCCGTCCTATTAGAGGGTTTACGGTATTCTGAATATTTTGAGATTCTAGGGATTTCTGGATCTTTCTGGGTTTTGGAGTTGTCTGAATTTTTTGAAGTTTCTCAGAAATAGAAACTCTTCAAATTCAAAACAAATGAAATTGAAAATTCGGAAATTCGAAAAATTATAAATTTTTCAAAATTTTCAATTTTGGAAAATTCAGAAATTCAGACATTCGGAAATTCAGAAATTCAGAAATTCAGAAATTCAGAAATTCAGGAATCTGGAAATTCAAAAGTTCAGAAATTCAGAAATTCAGAAATTCAGAAAATCAGAAAATCAGAAATTCAGAAATTCAGAAATTCAGAAATTCAGAAATTCAGAAATTCAGAAATTCAGAAATTCAGAAATTCAGAAATTCAGAAATTCAGAAATTCAGAAATTCAGAAATTCAGAAATTCAGAAATTCAGAAATTCAGAAATTCAGAAATTCAGAAATTCAGAAATTCAGAAATTCAGAAATTGAAAATTTCAGAAATTCAGATATTCAGAAATTCAGAAATTTAGAAATCTGGAAATTCAAATGTTCAGAAATTCAGAAATTCAGAAATTCGGAATGCCATATTTTTTCAAAAATCTGAAAATTTCCTCAAAAAAGTAATGAATTCTGATGACCGTAAAACCTGTAATTGAAGGACCCCTCTAATAGAAGGACCCTCCGAAAGGGACTTGGAAAAATAGAAAAAAGTGAAAAAAGACTCACTTAAAATGTGTATTCTGTGAAAAAGGACCCACTTCAAAATGTGTATTCAAATCAGAAAATTTCCGTTTTCAGCGGAAAAAAATATTTTTAACGATTTAATAGAAATTTGTTGAAACTCTATTTTTGATGAAAATCTTGCTAAATTTTGGTGAAATTGGCAGATTGTCATGAATTTTGAACGAAACGTCGTCGAATTTTTCGATACAAAATTTCGGAAAAAAATGGCCGAAAAAATACAAGGGCCCCCTCTGTTTGAAGGACCCCTGTAATAGAAGGGCTCTGCGGAGGTACCTTCGAACAATAGTCGGCCCTTTTAATACAGGTTTTACGGTATTCTAATTTTTTCGAAATTTCCAAATATTCGAATTTCTGAGTTTTAAAAAAAAATTTTTCTGAGGATTCAAAAAAGTGAAAATTTTTCTGAAAAGCGAAATTCGAGTTTTCTGAATTTCGAAAACTTATAAAAGCTGTTAATTTTCTATTTTTCAAATTGTTTTTTAAATTTTAATTTATCGCGAAATTTAGAATTCTTGAAAAAAAAGAAAATTTTTCAAATTTCCAGAACTTTCTTTTCATTTTCAAATCTTCCTGAAAAATGCCCCAATTTTTGTCCGGTGTCACTTTGAAAAATCGCGAGGGTACCGAGCTGGAAGCTGTTGAGCATCTCAAGGGAAAGGTGAGCAATCTACCGTAAACACTCTAATAGAACGCCACCCGGACCGTCCACTTTGAGCCTCTATATCTCATTTCTTTTGAAAGATATCAAAAAGTTGTCAACTGATAAAATGTTTATCTTGATATCAACAACATTTTATCAGTTGACCACTTTTTTATATCTCTCCCAGAAAATGAGATACATGGGCTCAAATTTAACGATTCGGATGACGTTCTATTAGAGTGTATACGGTAGCTGTTGTTTTTTTTTTTGAAAAACTACTGAAAACAAAATTAAAGTATATTTTAATTGAAAAAAAAAACTTTTAAAAAATGGATGTTTGCTCAAAATACTTTCGGTATTTTTTCTGAAAATTGCGAATTTTTCAATATTTCCCGCATAACTTTTTTCCAGGTAATCGGCCTATATTTCTCTGCTAGTTGGTGCCCACCATGCCGTTTATTCACTCCAAAACTCAAGGAATTTTTCGAGGAAATTAAGAAAAATCATCCCGAATTCGAGGTTATTTTTGTGTCTCGTGACCGTAACTCCTCCGATTTGGTCGGCTATTTCGAGGACCATCAAGGAGAATGGACCTATATTCCATTTGGAAGCGATAAGATTATGTAAGTGCGCTCCAGTGAGAAAAGTTTGAATTTTGGTAATTTTCGTGGGAAATTTTTCGATTTTCCCATAAAAATTGCTATTTCTAGCCGGAAAATCTTATGAAAGAAATAGAAAACACACATATTCCCCTAGAAAATCGATAATTTTTGAAAAGTTTCGACTGGAAATTTCGAATTTTCATGTCATTTTTCACTGAAAATAAGGCACAAATTTTAATTTTTCAGCGAAAATTCCAATAAAAAATCCCAATTTTTTTGACAAAACTGTTCAATTTATCAATTCATTTTTCCGTATTTTTCGTTAATTTCACTAAAAATAGGGTTAAAATTTCGAATTTGCGCCAAAAACTAGCTTTTTCAGCAGTATTTTCAAATTTTCAGCCAAAATTTCGAAATATCAAGATTTTTCCAAATTATCGATTTTCCTCCATTTTCCAGCGAGCTCATGCAAAAATACGAAGTCAAAACGATCCCAGCAATGCGTATCGTCAACGACAAGGGCGAAGTGATCGTTCAGGACGCGAGAACTGAAATTCAGAATAAAGGAGACAAGGCGGAAGCCTTGTGGGCCGAGTGGACGGCCCTTTTTCATTGATTGATCGATAACTATTTACAATTCACAGTTATAGCTTATAGAATGAATGAATATCGATTTTTAGAAGCATTTTTACATGAAAAATTGCATAAGAATAAGTAAAATATCATAATTTAACGAGGAAGAACCAAATAGACGAGAGCGATGAAGTTGAAAATGAAGCTGACAAGGCAGACTTGATAATAGAAGCGAATCTTCAATTTCGATCGAATTAGCGCCAGCGATTTCTCACTGTACGCGAATTCCCATTGATTTTTGTCCACTTTGAGCTTGGCGACTCGCAACTGATGATCGTAATCCAAATCGTGCCGTCGGTCCTTTTCCACGACTTTCACCCATTTCACAGATTCCTCGAGCTGCTTCTCGGCCGCCGCCAACGATTGTTCCCATTTGTACTCTTCAACCTCCAATCTATTGTCGAAAATCATTGTTTTGCGGGTCTTTTTCACCTGGAAATTGAGAAATTTTGGTGAAAAACGAGAGGGAAAACGGCTGAGAAGGATTTAAAAGGCATTACGACAACTGTAACTTTATTAGTGCAATTTTGCGTTATGGTGTTTGCGGAAACATAATTTTTGGGCGGAAAATCAAAATTCGACCGGATAATATGAGCGAAAAAGACTTAAAAATGGGAAAAAAGGAAAAAAAATTGTTTTTCTGAAATACCGAATTTCTCGAAAATTTTGGTGAAAATCGCAGAAATTCGAATCAAATATCATCGCAAAACACTTTCAGAATTCGAAATAAATGGAATTTCCCTTGAAAATCTGTAAAATTCAAGTTTCCGAAGCAAAGAAAGATTGAAAATATTCCAGAAAAAAACACAAAAAATTTTGCGCGTGTAGTGTGATGCATCGTCTGCAATACACACTGCACACTTTCTCTTCTACCGTAACCCAATTAAAATAATTCAAAAAAAGTCGATAAAAATCCGAAATTTCTTGCAGAAAATCTGAAAAAAAACATCGAAGAAACGGAAATTTTCTTTTAAAACTCCGGAAATATTCGTGACAAATCCGAAAAAAATGCAAAAAATTGAGGAAAATGCCGTCTGCAAACACACTGCACACTTTCTCCTCTACCGTAACCCTGACTAAAAAAGCCAAAAAAAATTGATAAAAATCCGAAGTTCTTTGAAAAAATTCGAAAAAACTGGAATAATTTTTTCAAAAAAAATCTTTAAAATTCCGAAAAAAAATGCGAAAAATTGAGGAAAATGCCGTCTGCAGACACACTGCACACTTTCTCCTCTACCGTAACCTTGACTAAAAAAGCCAAAAAAATTGATAAAAATCCGAAGTTCTTTGAAAAAATTCGAAAAAACTGGAATAATTTTTTCAAAAAAAACCTGAAAATCGAAAAAAAAATCCTGAAAATTCCGAAAAAATGCAAAAATTGAGGAAAATGCCGTCTGCAAACATACTGCACACTTTCTCCTCTACAGTAATCCTGACTAAAAAATCCGAAAAATTCAGAAAAAACCGGAATTTTTCCAAAAAATGTAGACTAATTTGAATAAAAATCTTAAAAATTGTCCTCATAAAACATTGATTTTTTTTGAAAATCTCTGAAAACTTAAAATTTTTATTTTTCGAAAAAAAAATTAATCATTTATATTTATTCGAAAAAATGTCATCAATATTAGAGAAGCACACACACAGGAATTAATTAAGGATTAGGTTAATAATCAATTATTTACAGCCAATCAATCAATTATCGATTTATCGATTTATTCAAAATTCTGGGAGATCATTTAAACTGTCTTGTGCTTCTTGGCCACCTTCGCCTTCGCCTTCTTCGCCTTTCGTTTCGTGTTTTTTGCCAATAGCCTTTTATAAGCCCATAGTCGTTTCTTAAAACTATCCAAGTCTTTTGCCCTCGGGACCACACATGGACCACGAGACGGATCGGCGTCTCCGATTCTTTCTGGGCAATACATACTGTTTAATTTGACAGTATCCCATTTTGTGAGCAATCCCACACGTTGGCCGGCTCCAATATCCGCATCGTTCCTTGCTGGACAGTAGGCTGTTAGGCGGAACTTCTCGCGGGCCCATAGAGGTACGGTAATGGATTCAGGGTCGAATGGCCATGTTAGTTGGATTGGATTGTAGTCTGGAGTGCCGAGATTGGGGATACCGCCGCTGGAAAATGGTAGATGTTTGGATATTCCGGGATTTCTGATTTTTAAAATTTATAAATTTTGAAGGATTTTAGATTTCAATTCATGATTTGGGTGTTTCGATTTTTCGATTTTGGAAATTTGAAATTCTGAAAAATAAAAAATACAGAAATTCAGAAATTCAGAAATTCAGAAATTCAGAAATTCAGAAATTCAGAAATTCAGAAATTCAGAAATTCAGAAATTCAGAAATTCAGAAATTCAGAAATTCAGAAATTCCGAAATTCAGAAATTCAGAAATTCAGGAATTCAGAAATTCAGAAATTCAGAAATTCAGAAATTCAGAAATTCAAAAATTCAGAAATTCAGAAATTCAGAAATTCTGAAATTCAGGAATGCAGGAATTCAGTAATTCAGGAATTCAGAAATTCAGAAATTCAGAAATTCAGAAATTCAGAAATTCAGAAATTCAGAAATTCAGAAATTCAGAAATTCAGAAATTCAGAAATTCAGAAATTCAGAAATTCAGAAATTCAGAAATTCAGAAATTCAGAAATTCAGAAATTCAGGAATTTAGAAATTCAGAAATTCAGAAATTCAGAAATTCAGAAATTCGAAAATTCAATAATTCAGATAGTTTGAAAAGTTCAGAAAATTTAGAATATCTCAATTTTTCGCTGGATTTCTTAACTATCTAATTATAAGATGTGCAATTTTGGATTTTCTGAATTCATGAAGATTTTGCTATTTTCAAAAAAAAACAATTTTTTTTCAATTTCTTTGTTTTTGTTTCAAACTTCACTATCTCATTCCTATAATCAGATGTACTCACTCAATAGCTTGTACATAAGACACCGCATCTGGCCGATACAGTTCCCTCTGTAGTCCCATAAACCGAACCAATTGATCCATAATCATTCCTCTGGAATTATTGAAATTCGATGGTTCAAACGAAGACTGTGCCACGTAGAGAATCGTTCTATCTACGAGTCCCTCAACGACTGCATCTGAATAAGCCGCGAATTTTCCAGATTTTCTTATCAGCACATGCGGAGAATTGGAATCCCATCGATCGGCATGATACCATGGCTTGTATTCTTGCTCCTCGAATTTCACACAAGTACTCTTCCGATTTGATTGAAGGCGTCACGAAGGACGGTTTTCTCGAAATCTGTTAGACTCGGCCAAAAATACACCTTTTGAACTGGTTTTCGAAGGGTTCTGTCCTCAAAATCCACTGCGTCAATCCCATTTGCACTTCGGGTTCCAACGGCGAAAGCCTGGAATAAGTTTTGGAGATTTCTTTTGGATTTTCTGATTTTTTTGGTTTTCAGAATAGTTGAGCACAAATGTTTGGGAATTCTGAGGATTTAATTATTATTTTTGATTTTCTAGTTTTGTTAGATCTATGAAAATACCCGAAAAGTTTAAAAAACTTCCATTTATGGGATATTATTTTTTTTTTTAATGTTTTTTTTTCAGATTTTTTGAATTTTCAAGAAAATTTGAATTTCTGAATTTCTGAATTTCTGAATTTCTGAATTTCTGAAATTCTGAATATCTGAATTTCTAAATTTCTAAATTTCTGACGTTCTGAATTTCTAAATTTCTAAATTTCTGAATTTCTGAATTTCTGAATTTCAGAATTTCAGAATTTCTAAATTTCTAAATTTCTAAATTTCTAAATTTCTGAATTTCTGAATTTCTAAATTTCTGAATTTCTGAATTTCTGAATTTCCGAAAATCATCTGAATTTTTGAATGTTCAAATTTTCGAATTACAAAATTTTTTTCCTAAATTTCTGATTTTACCCTTATTTTGAGCCAATATATCTCATTTCCCATGAGAGATATCAAAAATGTGTCAACTGATAAAATGTTGCTGATATTGTGATAAACATTTTATCAGTTAACAGGTTTTTGAAATCTCTAACAGTAATTGAGATAATTGAGCTTAAGTTGTGCAATGTTCAAATCGTTAAAAAATTTGTCTATTTTGCTATATAGTTACAGATTTTTAAAAAGTTTCTCCAAAAAAAAACCGAAAATCTCCAAAAATCTCCAAAAATTCAAAATTTCTGATTCTTAAATTTTGAAATTCCCCAGCATTTTAATTTTTGAAAATTTTTTTGAAAATTCTTACCTTAGCTTTCGTCCTACAACCCTTCTTAGTAGTCACCCCAACAGCAGTAGCCGTACCAAATCCAACGATTACTGTAACCACAAGGACTAAACCGAGTAGCCGCATTGTTAAATTTGGCAATAGATAAAGTGATAACAATCCGGGATCCAATGATAAGACAGAAGAAGAAGAAGAAGCTAATGAGGTCAAATGCGAAGAACAGGAAAAGAGACAAGGGCGGTCTTTTCCTTCGTTTTCCCCTAATCAGTATCCTTGTTTTATAAGGTTTTTGGTGTAAAAAAGAGAAAGAAAAGGCGGGAATTTGCTGTTTTATATAATTCAAAACGTAATTATAGGGGAGATGGGGTTTCAAGTGTTATAGTAGTTGCCACCCACCCATACGAGAAATATGTATATGTTTCCGAAAGTCGATTAGGCTAGCCTAATCGACTTTCGGAAGGGATATATTGGCTAGAACCCATAAAAAAGCCCCCCCCCCCCCCCATTTAATGGTTATATGGAAAACAACATTTGGGTATGCTTAGGTGTAATAAACAGAACAACATATGATTGGATCCTTGAGGAGTTGACTAGAATCTATCTCATGGAATTAGAAAAAACCCAGTTAACTTTGAGCCAAAGTTAGTTACTGTAATTTGAGCTCATTTATCTCAGTCCCTCTATGAGATATGAAAAAGTTGTCAACTGATAAAATGTTTATCATATTATCAGTAGAATTTTGTCAGTTGACAACTTTTTGATATCTTTCACATGAAACGAGATATAAGGGCTCAAAGTAGGAACATACCCTTCACGGTTTGTAGAGTAGCAGAAGAAAGCAGCCAACTTTGGAGCCCTACAAAAGTGGTCCAGTTTTTTTGGATTTGTCTGAAAATTCCAGATTATACTAAACAAAATTATAGCTTCAATTTTGCAGTTGACAATTTTTTGCAGCCTTTTTGGTTTTTGAGGTATGCGCCTTTAAAACAACCATTTCCAGCGAGAAAGATGAGGAGGGCCTCTCCTATAGGGGGAGACGGTACTTTTAAAGGGGGGTCTCAAAAACCAGAAAGCTACAAGAAAGTTGTCAACCACTAAAATGTGTAAAACAGAATTTTCCACATTTTTGCAATTGAAAACTTTTCAGCTCTTTTGGTTTTCGAGATATGCGCCTTTAAAAAGTAAATGCGCTCCAATGAGAAGTTGAACTGTTATAGGATTTTTGAATTTCTTAAAAACTTCGATATTCTCAGAGAAAATTATCAGATCAAAAAATGCCGAATATCTGTATTTTCAGAGTTTTAAAATTTTGAATATTTGAAAAAATTTCAATTCGAAGTTCGAGGAATTCTGAACTTTTTAGATTTTCACGAATCTCAAAATTTTCAAATTCTCAAATATTCAAATTTTGAAATTAAAACAATTCCTAATTCTGAGGTTCTGAACTTGAAGTTTTTTAAGATTTTCCTCGAATTTTCTGAAGTTTCCAATTTTGAGAATTTCGAAATTTTTACATTTTTTCAGAATTTTTCAGTCATTTCCTTTTTTCCATAAAATTCTCAAAACCCCTAATTGCATAATTTATTGCTTTTTTTGAAGGAGACAAGTGGTGTAGAATGCGATACAATCAAAGAAAAATTTGGTGGGAAATTCGAATTTTAAAATTTCCAAAAAAAATTGAAAATTTCAAATTTCAGTGACTATATACACAAAGAAAAAAGAGAAGAATTTACATAGTATATAAGTTAGAGAGGGGAAAAAGAAGCAATTTTTCAGTTAAACTGAGATAAGAAATATAAGATTTGGCGATTTTTTAGGGAAAATTTGGAAAGAGGAAAATGCAAAAAAATCGATTTTCGGGAGGTTTTTTACAGGGATTTTTAACTACCCGTACATCAAATTTTGTTCATAAATGTTTTTAAAAATGAAAGAACGAGACAAGCCGATAAAATGCATAGAGAAATGTATCAGGTCATAAAATGTGGGGGGAGAATTATAGCACAGAATATATATATATATATATATATATATATATAATTTATACAGGCAGGCGGGAAAAAAACGAAATTCAAAAAACGGGAAAATAGGAGAGTTTGGCTATAATTACAGATCTGGAAAACGTGTCGGATCCTCGCGATACGATGTCGGAATTGTGAATAGTTTATCGTGGATGTTATTGGAAAATTGGAACTTTTGAAATGTGACTTTGGCGGCAATGGTGGCGAGCAGGGGGATTTCTGGAATATTTGGAATTTGTAGATTGAATTTTGGAATATTTTTTCCCAGATTTTCAAAAAATTCCGGATCAAAAATACAGTACTCTCTCAGTGATCTCAATCGTTTTTCTAGTAGAAATGGATTAAAATACATTGGAAATGGTATAGAAGTTTCGAAAACTCGGACGTTCCGAAATCGAAATACCGTAAAACCTTCCAGCTTTGAGCCCATTTATCTCGATTCCTGTGAAAGATATCAGAAAATGGTCAACTGATAAATTGTTCATTATAATATCAGCAATACTTTATCAGTTGACCATTTTTTGATATCGAGAAGTGAGATAAATTGTCTCAAAGTTGACAGTGTGGGGGGCCCGTCTTTTACAGGATTTACGGTATTTAAAAACCAAGATGTTTTGAAACTCGGACATTTCAGTACCGCGAATTTCAAAAATTGGACGTTTTGAAACTCGGACATTTCGGAATTACGGCATTTCAAAACTCGGACTTTTCAAAACCGGACATTTCGCAACCGTAATAATACAGTCTCTCTGGGTTTTGAAATTTTCGAGTTTTGAAGAATCGCGGTTCCGAACCGTTATAGTTTTTAAACGTCACAGTTGTGGTTCCAAAACGTCACAGTTCTGAAACGTCACGGTTTAAAAATGACGCGGTTCTAAAACGTCCGGATTCTCAAGAAATATAGTTCTAAAATGACGCAATCTTTGAGTTTAGATGCATCGCGGTTCCGAATCGTTATAGTTATTAAACGTCATAGTTCTAAAACGTCGCGATGCTAAAAAAGAAATTCCGGAAATGTGTTGTTTTTTGTTCAAGTTTTTGAAATTCTGATTTTTAGATTTTTTCTCAAATTTTGGGAATTTTGAATTTCGAATTTTTTCAAATTTTGGAAATTCCCAATTTCATATTTTTCAAATTTTCTTCAACGGTACTGTATAACCTCGAAAAAAACCCATAATCTGAAAATCTGAAAATATTCAAAATCCGAAAAAGGCTAAACTAACCAACACAAACCGGAAACCCGGGTGGTAGCCGTGCCGAACAGAATCGTCTCAATTTGTCCAAATGTTTAAACGGCGCAACGACTTCCAGTAGATCCACCAAAACGTCGACTGAAAGCGGAAACTCTTCACTCATCCCCACCAGAGCTTTGAACTGTTTCTCGTTGGTTTTGACGATTTGTGGACGACCCATCTGAGGTGGGGCTCCTGGAGCTGCTCCTGAGTACTCTTCCCATGTCGTTGGCAAGCGGCCAGGTGGTGGCAGCGATTTTCGGTGTTGGAGACTCTGAAAATATAGATTTTCGAACTTTTTGAAAAATTCTCAGAAACTGAGGAAAGTTCAAATTTCAAAAAATTTTAAATTTCGGATTTTTTTTGAAATTTTTGGAATTCCGGAATTTGGATTTTCTTGAATTTCAGATTCTAGATTTTCAGATTCAACATTTCAGAATCATTTTGTTCAAATTTCCAAAAGTTTGGAAATTTCAAACAAATCTGAAATTTTGGAAAAATCGAAAAATTTGAAAATCGGAAAATTCCATAAATTCAAAATATACCGAAAATTCGAAAAATCTGAAAAATTGAAATTTCAGAATTCAGAAATGGGAGAAAATTTTTTTCGGTTTTAAAAGTCTCGAATCTCTACATCTACAGTAATCTAATGCTACAGTAGTTTGAAATTGTTCAAATTTCAAAAACTACAGGAACCCCTCAAACAATAGGATTCTTCAAATCAACCGTAATCTACAGTAACACAGCGTCGAAAAACAAAAATGATTGCCGTTACCTAACCTACAGTAGCCTCATTACAGTATGCTACAGTAATCTACAGAAACCCCTTTTTTTCGGAAAAATTTCTGAAAATTTCAAAAAAAATCCCAAAAATCTGAAAAATTGAAATTTCAGAAATTGGAGAACAAACTTTTTTGGTTTTTAAAGTCTCGAATCTCAACATCTACAGTAATCTAATGCTAAAGTAGTTTGAAAATTGTTCAAATTTCAAAAACTACAGTAACCCCTCAAACAATAGGAATATTCAAATCAACCGTAATCTACCGTAATCTACCGTAATCTACAGCAAAATTTCAGAATTTAAAAATCTAAAAATTCTAAAAAATCATGTTTTTTTGGGTTTGAAACCTCCAAACAATAGGATTCTTCAATTCTACCGTAATCTACCGTAATCTACAGTAACATAGCGTCGAAAAACAGAACTGATTGCCGTTACCTAACCTACAGTAGCCTCTTTACAGTGAAATAGAGTAATCTACAATTTTTTTTTCAAAAAATGTCAAAATTCCAAAAGTTTTTATTTTGGCTTCGAAATGTCCCAAATCCCAATTTCTACAGTAATCTAATCTTATAGTAGTTTGAAAAAAACTGGAAAATCGAAAAAATTTCAAAAATTCAAAAAATCAGAAGTTTTCAGAAATTTCTTTTTAAATATCCAAAAATCCAAAACATCGAAAAACTCCAAAATTTCAAAATTTCAAAATCTAAAAATTCTCAAAAATCATGTTTTTTTTGGTTTGAAACCTCCAAACAGTAGAATTCCTCAAATCCACTGTAATCTACAGTAACCTAAAATAGAAAATTTCGAAAAAAACTCAAAAATTCCCAAAACATTGCTCACCGCAAACTCATCATCATTAACCGTATGTCCACTGGTCAGACTCGACAATATCGATTTATTCTTCTTAACATCATCACTACTCAGATGCTCTCTCCGCTTCCTTGTCGTTAGCTTCAGACCCTCAACACTATAGAAATTGACCGGGAAGTCGCCCATTTGCTCTTCCCTCGCGTGTTTGAATACCCATCCCGAGTAGGCTTGTTTAAATCCAACGGTCTTTGTGGACATATGAGCATTAACGATATCTGTCGACATCAGAACATCAACCTCTTCGTCAATCTCCGCTTCTGATTCCTCTCGTCTGCCCCGTTGGAACACCTTCGTCTTGTTGTCCATCACAACCAACTGCTCGCCGGGCGGTGCATCCACATTGAACAAGAACGTAATATCCCCTCGCTCCCAGTTCCTCTCGCTGAAGTCTGCTAACGTCGTGTCCATTCGAAGGAGATTCCCTTTTTTGTAAATTAGACAGACGTCTGATGGGAGGATCCGCGAGAGGAGGGGTATCCATGACTGGAAGTCCCATTTGAATTCCATATAAAAGTCGCCCAGGTCGTGGAACATTTTCATCAGGTGCGGCTTGCCACGTGTCATCTTCTCGTTCGTCTGGGTTTTCAGCTTTCGCAGCATTTCGGTTACTGTAATGAGAAATAGGATAATTGGGATGGTCAGAAATTGCTGAGAAAATAATCTTAATCATTTTTTAGTAGGAATGGAAAGTGGGACGTTTCAGAACCGATACGTTTCATAACCCTGACATTTCAGAACCGGCAACTTCGAAGTCAAGACTTTTCAAAACTCGGACGTTTCAAAACCGGACATTTCGCAGCCGTATTAATAAAGTCTCTGGGTTTTGAAATTTTCCGAGTTTTGAAGCATCGCGGTTCCGAAGCGTTATAGTTCTTAAACGTTGCGGTTCTATAATGATATAGTTGCGAAACGTCATAGTCGTGGTTCTATAACGTCACAGTTCTAAAACACCATAGTTCTAAAACGTCATAGTTCTAAAACGTCGCGATACTAAACCGTCGCGGTTCTAAAACGTCACGGTTCTGAAGCGACACAGTTCTAAAACGTCACTGTTTCAAAACGTCGCGGGTGCAGAACGCTACGGTTCCAAATCGTCGTGGTCGTGAAGTACCGAAGTTCTAAAGAGTCGCGGTTCTGAAATGTCATGGTTCTGAATCGACACAGTTCTAAAACGCCAGTTGTGGTTCTAAAATGTTGTGATTCTGAAACGTCACGGTTGTAAAACGTCGCGGTCCTGAAGCGACACATTTTTAAAACGTCGCGGTTCTATAACGACAGAGTTGCGAAGCGATCAGTTCTAAAAACCGCTGTTCTAAAATGTCGCAGTTCTGAATCGTCATAGTTCTAAAACGCCGTGGTTCTAAAACGTCATGGTTCAAAATCGACACAGTTCTCAATCGTCACAGTTTTAAAACGTCGTGATTCTATAATGACAGAGTTGCGAAGCGGTCGGTTCTAAATGTCGCAGTTCTGAAACGACGCGGTTCTTAAATGTCGTTGTTTTCTAACGACATAGTTGTGAAGTGGACAGTTCTAAAAACGACAGTTCTAAAATGTAAAAGTTCTGAATCGTCATAGTTCTAAAACGTCGCGGTTCTGGAACGTCGTAGTTGCGAAGCGGTCAGTTTTAAAAACCACAGTTCTAAAATGTCGCGGTTTTGAAACGTCGTAGTTGCGAAACGTCAAAAATGGGAAATTATCATTAAAATGACAAAATTTTCAGATTTTTTTTCTCAAAATTTCAAAATTCAAAAACCGAAAAATCTTACTAATTTGTCGATCTCCATAGCTAACCGACTCCATCAGTGGATTCCACCCATCGATATTTTTGATTCGAACCGGTGCATTATTGGCCAACAACATCGCAATCGCTTCTCGATGTCCCAACATTGTGGCGATGTGCAGAGCCGTGTTTCCGTGCATATCCTTCTCGGATAGACTCCTTCCAGCGCGTAGTAACTGCAAAAATAGTGAATTTCGGAGGTTATTGGGTCAGAAATAGGCATTTTTCAGTGATTTTCAGCAATTTTCAGCCAGAAAATGCCCTTAGGAGCTTTCTGGATCAACACAGTTCATTTCACCCGTTTTTAAGCTATTCTCAAACGACCATATTCGCTCAGAAGCTTCCATAGTCAAAAACAGCCATTTTCAGTTATTTTCAGCTATTTTCAGTCATTTATTGCTATTTTCAAGCTATATTTCGTCAGCTTTTCAGCTATTTTTCAGCCATTTTTCAGCTTTTTTTCAGCTTTTTTCAGCTATTTTTCAGCCATTTTTCGTCCTATTTTTCAGCTATTTTCAGCTATTTTCCAGCTATTTTCAGGAAATTTTCAGCAATTTTTCAGCTATTTTTCAGCTATTTTTCAGCTATTTTCAGATTTTTTTCAGCCATTTTTCAGCTATTTTTCGGCTATTTTTCAGCTGCTTTTTGGATATTTTCCGGGAATTTTCGGCCAAAAAAGCCTCCTGACGCCCTCAGAAGCTTCCAAGGTTAAAAATAGTCATTTTCAGCCAATTTTTTCAGCCAGAAAAACCTTTAGATGCTCTTAAAAGCTTCAAGCTTCCAGCGTCAAAAATAGTCATTTTCAGCCATTTTTCAGCTATTTTTCAGCTATTTTTCAGCTACTTCCAGCTATTTTTCAGTCAGTTTTCAGCCAATTTAGTCATTTTTCTGCCATTTTCAGCGTTTTTTTCGGTTTTTTATTTACTGCTATAAAAAACGCTCAGATACTCTTAGAAGCTTCCAGAGCCCAATATAGTCGCTTTCCACTATTTTTCGGTCATTTTTCCGCCACTCTTTCGGCCACTTGCCAGTTATATTACGGTCATTTTTAGGTCGTCTCAGCTATTTTTCAGCCATTTTTCAGGTATTTGTCAGCTATTTTTCAGTCATTTTTCAGCTATTTTTCAGTCATTTTTAGCCACTTTTCAGCTATTTTGCAGTTATTTTCAATCATTTTTCGTCCTACATTTCAGCCATTTTTCAGTTATTTTCCACGGTTTTAAAACCATAATTAAGCAATTTTTTCAGTCATTTTCAGCTTTTTTCTAGTCATTTTCAGCCATTTTTCATATTTTTCTCGGCTATTATTGCAGTATTTAAAAAAGCCTCCAGATGCTTGCGGAAGGGGCTTCCATGGTCAAAAATAGTCATTTTCAGTCATTTTTTCAGCCAAAAAAACCTCCAGATGCTCTTAAAAGCTTCAATGTTTTAGGGTCGAAAATTGTCATTTTTCAGCCATTTTTCGTCCTATATTTCAGCATGTTTCAGTTATTTTCAGCTGTTTTTTTTAAACCATGGTTTTTAAGCCATTTTTCAGCCATTTTCAGCTAATAAAAAAAACCTCCATTACCTGAACAATGGAATGTGTATCATTGAAGAATGCTGCCTTGTGCAGCGGATAGGCTTCATGGTCGAGACGGGCGGCCATCCGTTGGCCAATGATCCACGCGTCTTCGGTTCGAAATTTCGATGACATCATGATGGTGTTGAGGATCGAATGGGTCTAAAACCCGGAGGTTGCTGAACCTGGAATAATTGGAATTTAGGATCTAGAACTTCGACGAAATAATGGGAAAACGAAAAAAATGAAGGAAAACCCTCTAATAATATGGCATAGGGAAAAATTGAGGGAAAAGACACAAAAACGCACAAAGGATACTGTAATTTTAGCCCAACTTATCTCTGCACCTATAAAAGATATCAAAAATCTGTCAACTGATGAAATGTTTATCATATTATCAGGCACATTTTGTCAATTGACCACTTTTTGATATCTTTTATAGAAAACGAGATAAATTGGCTCAAAGTTTATACTATGTGGACTTCTGTAAAAGCTACTCGGAAAACTGTGTTTATTAGATTCAAAATCGAAATTTTTAAATTATCTCAAGTTCTAACTTCCAGGAAAAGAAGTTTTAAAACAGCTAGAGCACTCAACTCTGGCTTTAAACACTTCCCTACGTCAGAAGAACCACATGGAAAAGTCATAGAACACATGTTTATGAGCTGAAGAAAGAGTAAAGTGTGTTAAAAGCCACACTTTGAGCATTCCAATGCGATTTTTCTTGAACGTTTTCTAAATTAATACCTTTTTCGAAGGAATGTAGCTACAAATGATCTACAGTAGGATTTAGTTTGTCTAGTGTGCTGTTATCTACGTTATCTGATCAGTGTCTATTATCATAATTATCCATCTGCTCAATTAAATATTCACACGGTAAGAATGATGGAGTAGCTGTTGATGAGCTGGAAAAAAGAATAAGCATCGTCTGGAATTGAGCAAATTCCAGGAACCGCTTCTCTTTTCAAGAAAGGAAGAGGATTAATGACTCGAGCATGAAAGTCATAACAAGATTAAGGTAATCCGGTGGAAAAGGCTGGGCTCACAAAGTTTTAAAGAAAAAAACAGCTTAACCGACCGGAAGGGGAAGACGAATCGAATTAGCAGAATCTTGGAAGCAAATATCATAGAACACAAAACTTCCAGAAATTTCCGGTTAATCAAAATTTGTGAAAAGAAAACTTCTTCTGGATGCCAGACATGAGCGGAATAAAAATTTTGAAAATCCGGAATAAGGAATGAAAATTTTAAAATCCGGAATAAGGAATTAGGAATAAGGAATAGAAAAAACAATCGGAATAAGGAATAAGGAATTCCGCTCATGTCTGCTGGATGCAGGTAAAGAAGTTAATCTATCGAAAAACTGTGAACCAAGAGTGTCTGCGACTTTAGGATTACTGTACATTTGAAGACAAAGGCGGCCTAGTTTGGCTTCTCTACTTTTAGATTATTAAATCGATTTATTTCTAGATTTTTAAGCCCTCGTAACTTGTCTATCTGTCCTTCCATATATATATATCCTTTTTTTCATTTTTCCTAGTTCTCTACTTCTCTCTTGTGTCGGCCTCTTCAATACCCTATCAACGTGATAGTATCAATCATTCTTTTCTCTTATATAGAGAAAAATTTTAAAAACTTTTACACTAGTGTGAAGAAAAAAGGGCGTACTGGTCGGAGGGGCAAAACAAAAAAGAGACATAAACTTGCAGAAACCGAGAGATAGAGATACCCAGAGAAAAAAAAGAAGGTGTATGCATTTTGGATGAACCAAGTGTACGTAGATGAGGTCGAAAAATGCTTGAGGATCTAGGAATCCCTTAGATTCTTGAATTTCTAGATTCTTAGATCCTTAGGTTCTTAAATCTTTTGATCTTTAGATTCCCAGATTATAATATTTTCCTAGATTAGGAATCTAGGGATCTAAGGACCTAAGAATCCAGGTTCCCCAAAATCTAGCGATCCAAAAACCCAGACAAAAATCCTTATTCATCTCTACAACCCCCAATTTCCCTATCAAATTCAAACCACTAATTTCAAACAAAAAAACAGAAGCTATTTCCGTCGAAAATCGCCGAAAAAAAGCGCCGCGAGGAATGAAACCCACCAATTATTTAAATTATATATATGATACCACTTGTATGTATCTATACGTTTGTTTGTTGATTTGACACATAAAACGACGTCAAAAAGGGGGGGGGGTGCAGGGAAAGGCTTCAATTTTGACAAAAAATAGTAAAAAATTTTGGGGTAGTAAAAAGCCAACAAAATCACAAAATTCTGGAAAATGAAGCCTAATATTTGTATTTCTTGTAGCCTAGAGAAAATGAATGGAATAGAAAAAAGGAGCTTTCAGCCATGAAGACTTGATAGTGTCCTACTGTAGATTACTGTTGAGAAACTGATAAGTTTTTCTACAGTAGTCTACAGTAAAACACTAACAATATTAAGGGATATTTCAAAGGCGCATTAGACGGTTACTGTATTTTTTGGCTTTTTTCCCTTTACATAGTGACAGTCGCTAATTTTCAAGGGGAGATAATCGGACCTGATTTTTCCCCTTTTTTCCATTTTTTTTTCAGTATTTACACAAGTAGGTATAATTCTACTGTTCCATGTGTATGTGTATATTCCATTTTCACTTTCAATAGAAATAAATAATAATAATGGAGGTTATTAAAATGGTTGGCCTATCATAGAGGGTTGAAAAAAAAAGGGAAAGTGAAAAAAATGAAAATGAAAAAGGACAGCTGAAAAATCATAGAAAAATCTGAAAATTTCGAAATTTCAAACTTCAGAAACATCGAAAATTAGAACATTGAAAAAGGAGAATTTCAAACATTCAGAATTTCATAATTTCTGAAATTTCAAATTTTCGAAACTTTTGAAATTCTAATTTTTACGGAATTCTCAGAATTTTCGAATTTTTCCACTTTTTCCATTTTTTCTATTTTCAGATTCCTCTTAAAAAATGGCTGAAAACTCCAAAAAATTCTGAAAATCGACTTTCTGTCTAAAATTTGAATAGTTCTAAAAAAAAATTTTCCTGAAAATCACAAAATCAATAATTTTAAATTGGCTGAAAACTATAAAAATGTGAATTTATGTCAAAAATTCCAAAAATTCATAAAATTGAATTTGCGCTTAAAAATCTAGGAATTGAATTGTTGTCTAAAACTCTAAAAATTGGGGAAATCCCAAAAATTTCCGAAATTCCGATTTTCAAAATTTTCAAAAATCCCAAAAATGCGAAAAATGAAAAATTGACTGTAAATTCTAGAAATTCAACATCTAGCTCACAATCTGAAATTCCAAATATTCCAAATTTTACGAAACTTTGAGAAATTCAATTTTTGTCAAAAATTTCTAAAATTGGCTGAAAATTATAAAAAATTTGAATTTATTTTCAAAATTCCCAAAAAATCCGATAACGGATTTTCAAACCCAAAAATTCTAAAAATTCGAAGATAATCCAGGAGAAAAATTCTAAATTTCAAAAATCCCAAAAATGCGAAAAATGAAAAATTGACTGTAAATTCTAGAAATTCAACATCTAGCTCACAATCTGAAATTCCAAATATTCCAAATTTTACGAAACTTTGAGAAATTCAATTTTTGTCAAAAATTCCTAAAATTGGCTGAAACTCCGAAAATTGGAATTTCGCTAAAAATCGTAATTTTCGAAACTGAAAAATTGCCATTTTTGGACTAAAAAAGCTAGGATTGCTCAGCTTAAAAATTCTGGAGAGAATATCTGATTGCCTACCCGGAAACCCGCTAAACTCCCAATCAAGCCAAAAATGCTCGCCCAAAAACAAAAAGAGTGGTAATTTCGAAATCTGAGCAATCCTACTAAATCTCAACCCAACAAACGAAATTGACCGGAAAACGAGAAGAGAGAGAGAGAGAGAGAGAAGATGTCGTCGACGAAAAAGAAGAAGAAGAGGAAGAAGAGGAAGATAACAAAATTTGTCCGAAAAAAAAACGGAGAGATGGAGACACGCAATGCCAAAAGGCGCCTACTATGTTATACAACACACCCATATTTTGAATGTTGTCTTCTTTATTTCTCGACGTCTCCAATTTTTGGAGGGGGGGGGGGGGAAGGAATGAATTGAGACGTAGAGACGATATGTCATGTATATGAATTCAGAAGAGGTGAGAACAAGAAGAATTCTTCATTTTTTATGTCCTACTTGAGTCTTTTTCAAGAGGAAAAAGAAGAAGAAGAACTAGAAATGGTGTTGTTGTTTTTTTTTCAGAAAAGATGGATGGCCTAGAAAACCTTTGAATTCCTAGGCCACCGTGATAGTAAATTTGATCATACTTGCGGACGGGCCCTGTCATAGTTTCTTTTAAGATTGATAATTTTTGACCAACTAAATTAGATATGGTAGAACTCGACGAGCACTACAAAATGATTCTATTTGGGACACCGTATCATGTTTGTGAACAAAGTTAC